TTTTTTCTTCCCTCCTTTATCGATACTTCGCGTCACCTTAATTCGTAACAGAAACGTTTTCGATCGGAAAAAAAAAAAAAAAGAAAGACTATGACGACGTCCTGAAGCTCTCGAAATATATATTTTAATAGCAACTCTTCATCTAGTAATTTAAATTGGCGAAACATCTCAAAGATTAGCAACGTCTCAAAAAAAATAAAAATAAAAAAATAATAAAAAGTAAAAAAGAAAAGAGGACCGTGGAAGAATGAAATGAACAGATGAGGGGGGAAAAGGAGAATTAGATTACGTTTAATGGCCTGCAGGCATCGGACTCGAGTACGTCCATCAACCGGAGAGTATATTCGAGCAGAACGTGAAATAATTGATAGAACAGGTTGCAACGCACGCTGCAGGAATTTAAAGGGATTAGATCGGCGACTGGTGGATCGTTATCTCGATTGTCTGACGTTTCTAACTTCTCGTAGATCGATGAATTATTTCGTACAAGGACGTAGATGTAACGATACCGCGTTGAAGATATTATACGAGCAACGAAAAACTGAAAGAATACAGAGAGAAAGAGAGAGAGAGAGAGAGAGAGAGAGAGAGAAGGTTGAATAAAAGTTGGGTTAGGGAAAAAAGTAGGGCAACATTTCCCACGAGAAATTTCGTCGATCTGCAACGTAACAAATTGTCTCTATCGTTCTCTTCTCTCTTTTCGCAGAGATACCGAAGAATGAGTATAACAACAAGAATCAGTCCACGGGGAATAGTCCAATAAAAGTCGAGCTGCAGAACAACATGGACAGGTAAGCCTATCTCATTTTCTATTTTCTGTGTTGTACACAGCGTTTTTCTTTTTCTTTTTTTTTTTTTCATTTCTCTGAGAAGCTGGAAGGTTTGAGAGGTATTTTCAATATTTTGTTAAGTGGAAGACACATTATTTAATGCGCATGATGAAGGTTAATTAAAAATATCGACGATGGTAGATGTGTAATAATATTTTCGTAACAGTACCAATTGAGTTCTTTTAGTTCATTTTCATCTTCATTTTATGTTACACGTACATGTGTATAATTAAAATGTTAGGAGTTTTACATCAATACAATTAATTGTATTATTGAATTTATTTAAATACATTACAGATACTAGAACACATATCGAGTAGATATTTGTGGAAATATTCGAATCGTTTGAGAATCTCATTGTCAGTTAATTGAAATAATCTAATTTAATATGGGTACAAAGTTTTCGACGTACATCCGAAATATCGACTATCGGATCCTAAAAATTTTGATTGCATTATAAATTCGTTTTACAATGCTCACTTGGAAGTTGGAATTTTTAAAATAAACATAACGAAACGAATTAATGCGCCAAATTGTCATTCCCTATCCTTATATCGATGCCTGTTTTAATTGCACGATTTGAAGAACTTTCATCCCCCAAATATTTCTCAGAACAAGAATATCTGTCCTAAAAATATGAATCTTGAAAGTGATAATCGAAAATTCCACGGATCATGGATCTCAATCGGGTGGCAGCTCTCCCGCGGTTTATTATTGCGACAATCGAATGCTAGAAAGTGACAGACACCGGGAAGACTTGAATCCCCGTGGCGTCGAGTTTACGAGACCGTTTAGTAAATTTTCGTGCTCGTATCGAGTGAAAACCGAGTGGCTGCCAAAGAAACGCAGATTTTTCACGCTGTCACGTGCAACAAAACACCGTTCCTCCACCTCGCCTTCTAAACATTGACTCATTGTGCGACACCGTCCGAATGCATGATTCACAGGATCTCTTTCAAGTACTATAATACATACTACGTTCTTCGTTGTTCAAGAAGAGATCGCACGGTTCATTCGTTCCGTTTTCTCGAAGATTGCCTTCTTTGCTCTTCCTCTATTATTCCTTGTAGCTTTTGGACTTTTGAAAGAGGGAGACTCTGCGCGTGTGTGTATAAAACTGGAATATATCAGATAATTTTCTTTTGTGCCGCAGCTATTGAAAAGCATCCTCTGAGTGCTTAAATAATTATTATTGTAATTGTTATTATATTCAATAATATCAAAATGATTTAGATTAAAGTCTAAATGTGTAGTTGTTAGGAATACGGAACAAATTAAAAATGCAAGATGTTACTCTGCTTGAACCTTCAACCTCTTGCGTTGGAATGACGTGCCAACAAAAGTTGCGACATATTCTCAGTAATAATTGTTTTACATTTAAATATATTTAAATGTAAAACAAACGACTCATATTTATTTTTATATTTATTTGTTGTGATGTTTCGTACCGACGAGTTCGAAAGGAAAAGAAAGCGACGAATTATTGCATACGGTTCGGTCGCTCGTTATGGTCCGCGCAACGGGTCAACAAGTAAATGTATTTCATCATCATCTACCGTTAACACAATGTCAAAAGTCCAAAGAAGAAAAAAAAAAAAAAGAAGCTCCCTCCGAGCGGAATTAGAAAATTTTCTCTCCTTCGAGTATGAATTGAAAAAAAAAAAAAAATCACAACGCAAACAGTTACTCTATTTTCAGAGTGACGGGCTTCGTTCCATTCTCACGCGAAATTAGAGAATCTGTCTAACAATCGCGTTCCTGAAAGCCGCGAAAATCCTTCCGCTTTCCAACACGTCAAATCAAACATCAAATTAAATACCAACTAACTCTCTCGCAAGATTAGACAATCTTCTCCCTCTCTCTCTCTCTCTCTTTTTCTCTCTTTGCGATCTGACGATTAAACGCGAGCAAAGGGTACGTATATATCCGGAGTGGTGCGCGGTAAAGTGGTGAAGTAACACGGGCCCGTGTGATTTCGAACGTTCTCGTCGCCCGAACGACGTTGATTTCAAAGGGAAACGGGTGGCGAAAGGGGGTGGGAAGAGGGGGGACGTCGGTTCGCGTCGTTTGATACGCGGGCAAATATATTTGTACTCGTCACGTGCTCGTCGCGCAAAAGCATCGCAAGGCACACGGGCCACGGCAGCAGCCCTGGAGTATGTTTATGCTGAACATGGTGGAAGCGCGCGCGTTTCCAAGTAACTCCGAAACGTCTAACAAAAATATTTAAACGGGACGGGGGGCCCCCGACACGGGGATTGCTGCCTGTTTGCTTTCGTTGCATCACGCGATAATGGAAAACGAAAGCCAGACGCCGCGCGCCATCCTCGTCTTCTTTCTCCTCCTCCTCTTCCTCTTCTTCTTCTTCTTCTTTCTCCTCCTCCTCCTCGCGGAGGTCTTTTCTTTACCAACCTTCTCCGTCACCGAAAATCGCGCCAATTCTCTTCGCATTTTTGCTTTTATTTTTCCTCCTTCTTTTCTCTCCCCCACCGGAGGAGAGAGAGAGAGAGAGAGAGAGTTGCTTCTTCTCAAGGTTTAAATATTTGGCGTACGAGTTAACTCCGAGCAAAGGGAACTTTCGAGGATTTCCAACGGATGTTTGTATTTCAAGTTTTGTTTCGGTGATCGAGGATTTCGTGAGATTTAATTTTCGAACGAGTCTGCTGCATCTCCATTGTATCGCAACGTTTTTTTTTTTTTTTTTTTTTTCTTTTTTTTTT